CTGGAAAGAGATATAAAACTTCTTAGTTAATTGTAAATTGAAAACCAAATTCTTAGTTTTTCGATGTAGGTCAAAAATAAAATTGGCGCCTTGTCTTGTATTCGGTAGTCATCTTGTTTTTGCTAAATCTTATAATCAAAAAATATTCGGAGGTGCTTAAAATTATTGATGATTTTATTTACTGCGAATTGAAACCTACCTATTTATTGCACTCGTATAAAAATTTGCATAAGTAAGAGTTAGGCCATCTACCCAATATAAAGAATTATAATTACTTGTATGTAGCCGTAACCTTAACCAAGATGATCACTGTCTGTGAAAGTGTATGTTAACAGAGCGTAGAGCATTAAGACAATCGTCGGACTATATATGCGTCTACGGTAGAATTTTGCAGCATTATATTCGATTGTAATATTACTATTATACTTATGAGTTACATTTTTTTATGTAACTGAAAAGAACTATTGCCATATCTTCAAAGAGCATAGAATAAGATAACTACATACTCTTGCTCATTATAACAATAACTCTTTTGTTATCGTGTCACCCTAGTAGATGAAAACTACAATCAGGTAAGGCGTTAAACTTTAGTTATAAGGACAATTATTTAGTAAACTAAGAGGTTAAAAGAAGTTTTAGGAGATTAGACCCATTGTTATTGTATTCACACGAAGGACTAATATTAAATTATACATACGTTTTTATTTATACAAAAGTACTCTTGCCAAATAGGTTAGAAATGAATACTGCTGATAAGTTCTGAACTAAACTGTACATCCTTGCGAGTATTAATATAATAAAAGGTAGAGGTTGTTTCAACTAGCGGCTGCCCTAAGGCAAGAATCCCTTCCAATGAGCGAATCATACATAGCCAAAATCCGAAACAAAGTTTTAAATGTTTCGGATTTTTAGTAAAGTAACATTTACTTTACGATTAACTAACAATGGCTATATTTTTTGTAATAACACTGTTCTGCTATGCTGGCTCCATTGTATTTTTAATAATATGATAAAATAAATATATAATTATATATTTTTAAAATGTTAAATATACATTTTGATTAAAAACAAAATAATGTGCGCAAATATTAATTAAGAAGGAAACTGAGATTCCTACAAGGTAAAGTGGCTAAGGCTAGGCTTTTTATTAGAGATATGTACTTATTTTTTAAAGCAGATCAAAAAATAAATTTTACAGCTTGAAACGCGGATTCACGCAATAATACATTTTTCATTAAAAAACGGAAAACATTTTTCATTATAAAACGGAAATCCGGACCAGAAGGACCATAGTTGCGAAACAATACCAAGGTATTTATACCAAGTTCTAACTGTATAAAAACGTACAAAAATAATCGTTCAATATAAAATTAGTACTCAAATGGAGACTTAACCAAAACTTTTATTTATAATGTATTTGTTATCAAGGTACCTAATTAATATAGGATACTAATGTTCGATGTCATGGATAATATAAATGTATCCGTTCTTAGGAAACCTCTTACGAAGGATTGAGAAATCAAAGGGCTATTGCCAATGCATTATGGAAAACTTTTCTGCATAAATTAATTAGTTACAAATTAAAGCAAAACAAACCCGTTTAACAAAAGACATCATTTTGTTTTTTTATCTACCCAAGTTCAAAATTATCTATATTGATTACCTATATTAATTATCTAATACAATTTAATTACCTTAATAATAAAAGGCTACTTGGTGGTAGGTATACCATAACAAAATTTAAGGAAGCTAACTAGAAAGAAAACTCAAACAATACTTTGAAAATACTAGAATTACCATACGAAATCTAGATATTTAGTTACCAACATCATTGCCCAGTAGATGAAGTATACCTTACTTCATCTACTGGGCAATATCGATTTGACGCAGGTTTAATGAACATAAAAATATGTTGGTCATAAGACAAGAAGTATTATTAAAAATTACGCATAAAACAAAGTTTGAAGCTGCACATATTCATGACACGAATTTACACACTGCTAATTTTAACAGTAAGTAATACAAAAATTCTTTCAGACCTGATTTTGATTTTAGCAGTAGTAGACCAAACATTTCGGCGCATGCATAAACCAATAACAACGATTCTTCGAATATAATGACCCTTATATAGGCCAGCCTTGAAATAAATATAGCGACTACAATGAAGGATTATGGAGCTATTATCATGACAATATAGGGGCAGTTAACTGTTTTGGGTATGATAATGGCTGTATCGATATTAGAATAACAATGGAGCAATTGACATGAAAATTCGTATTGCGAATATAATATCCTATAAAGATGATTGAATTTCTTAGACTTGTCAAATGTCAATATATTCTTAGTAACCTGTATGAAAATCGTGTTAATTGTACAGACTCGGTAAAGCGTGCAAATTTTCTCACAGCATCCTTGGTAACATAAAATCAAATCAGGCAGTGAAAGTCAACGTCACTAAAAACTAATACGTGCGTTTCAAAAAAACACAATAAAAATTAAATTCGTTAAAATCACTCATAATAATACATTCACCGTAGTCATTACAAAAACATCCGACGCATCCCAGTCATATATCATTGAGGCCCCAATTTCCAAAAACTAATGACCATAGGAGGCATTCCCTCAAGGCGCACGCGCTATGAGCCTCGGGCTGCGCGCACGCATCTTAAAACACAGAGACGCATGAAAAAATACACTTTCGATCCTGTTTTATTATTCTTTAGGTACACATTCGTTTGGTATAATCTTCGGCAACAGGTGTTCATTTACAAGGGTCTTCGACCATCTTGTCGACTGACGCTTCAAGATTTTGTCCGCCTCTGTCTGTCATGTATACTTTTTATTTTGAGAATTTAATTCAATCCTTTTTACATTCAATATATTGTATACGTTACGTTTGTTTATATATAAAACCTACCCACACTAAAGTAAAATAGCCTTTTTAGCTATTTTAATACTAGGAGCATGATTACACAATTTAATTATAAAGAACATGAAAATGTCATAAATGATTTGCATTGAACACAACAATCACAGAAGATAATTGCTAACGTATTTGCCAAATGTTATTTTAAATATATCCGGAAATATAATGTACTTGAAGACACCTGTGTAATTATAATGTAAAATGTAACGGACGAAAACCCTTTACATTTGTAACAACGTTTTACGAGCAGCTGCTGGCGACTTCGTTTATAAAAGATTGGATAAATATCTATAACAATAGTACAATTACATAAAATCACATTATACATAATAACTTATCTTTACTAAATGAAACTAAACAAGGACTAGAGTAAGTAACTTTACAGTTGGGAAGACTTTAAAAATGCAATATTGACAAAATATTCTTTCCCAAATTTTAGCTTAATCTGACTAAATATGACTGTAACATTTAACAGTAATATGTCAATAGCAAATCTTCAAACATCAGACTATATACTATACTTAATTCAAATAATAACATAACAATGCGCCTAAAATATCTATTTTTTAGTTTAAAACTAAAAACTAATTAGGGAATCTATTACTACAATTTTGGTATAAAATATTTTTCGAATAAAATCGTGTCAAGTAAATAGTTTTGTCCTCTATTATCTATGATATAATCGTATATTTTTTACTATAATCACAGGGATCTGAGTTGATTTCTTCCCGCGATTAAATAAGATAATAATCACTAATAATACTAATAAATGTCTAGCCCTTGGCGTTGTAGCGATATTATAATATCAACCTTATTATACAATTTTCGAAAGTATAGTTATGAAGTTATTAAACGTGAATCCTAATTTCCAATGTCGTTGTTTGGTATTGATTTTGGAAATCGTAAGAATAGACAAAGAAACAATATTTGTTTGTCTTTCCAGGGAAGACCTTCACCAGGAGCCTATTCCAGTTCACTAGTTCGTAAAAGAAAATGCCATTATGGAGATGCTTAGTGTTTAAAGTAATCAACCAAAAACTAGCCGGTACAGTATACCAAGAGTCAACACAAAAAACAATTGACTACCACGTTATTGTTCAGTCAGTTATAAATTCACCTTGCGTATGTTTTGCAAACACGTAAACGATTCTGAATCCTTTAAACGTGTTCATATCTCGATCCAATATCACGCCAGTTGATTCTAACAAAGCTACAAAAAACTAAATTTAAGAAGTGGAATGTATTACACTAAATTATGTAACAGGTGGCATTGCTCCGACCTCAGCCAAAATCGAAGCGAATACGTGCTTAATTTCGTTACAAATTACTTCCTCTGGCGTCGCTAACATGAAAACAAAAGAACGCATTGTACGACTGTGCTACTTGTGGACCTTGACGCCTGAAATATTATTTAATATGTAAGCTAAGCGCTTCTCATAACGTTAATTACGTAATTAGTTTTGGTACAGTTTATGCTCTGTTACGAAGTTAGTAAACACAGTTGTTTTGTTATGGTAACTAGTTTATAATAGCGGGTAGCGCAATAATATATACTTAATATTTGTTTCATTAGACGCAGAATTAATATAAATTTATGTTTGAGGATTTAGACATACGCTTTGAAACATTGGATCTTTCGTAATAAAAGTCTCTTTGACTATCTACGGAAGCTGTCCATAGTTCTATATTGACCATGCAGACGAAGTTGCTTATATACTCTAATTCACGATTATCATTTTTGATTTGGAATAGAACGATTAATTCTCTTCCAAGGTGCCATCCTTGGTTAACCGGAAAGCATAGACAATCTTTCATACATAATGTGATCAATATTAGGTGTATATTGTAGAATTTTTTAAAATTACTGAATACAAATATTAAGCAGACCAAGGTTTTTACTATTTGCATGAGAATACCACTTGTAAATAATAGTTTAAATGAAGATTATCATGCCTTGTAAGTAACTATTATGAATTTACAATACAGCTATTTTTGAAATTATCGTCATTTATTTAATTTCAATCGTTTAAACTACGTACTTTAATTTATTATACCTACTAAAGTACATAGAGTA